CTGGAGGATTACTTCAACTTCATTACTGAATGAACTCTTGCCTTCTTCTGTGAATACAAACTGGTTACACAAGGGAAAGCATGTTTTTCTACTGACCCCACTCCCCTTACTTTATGCTTATTCTACATGCTCTACAATCTACAAAGGCCAAAAACTTCAGAATCTTGTAAAGAAAAGAGGCTTTACAGAAACATGAACTAATTAGTTGTATATTACTACTCTAGATACTCCTGTTATCAGGTGAAGTGCCTTGGTTGTGCCTGGACCTGAAATCTCAAGTGAACACTAAGCAGGAGTACTAGGCTAAAGGAGAAGGGATTCTCAGGTGGAAAACAAAAGGAGAGGGGTGCCATTTTCAGGTGTAATTGACAGTGACCTTTTTAGAAACTGGTTCTAGAGGCCAATAAGGAGATGATCTAACCAATTCTGAATACCCCATACCGGCAGGAAACTGTTTCTAAGTCATATACTTTCTCATTGAGAAGCCAGATGATAAGAAAACAAATCCAAGCATTTTTGTTCCTATAATGTATCTGGTTCAGATGCTAATTTAAAAGTCTTATGTGGATATATATTGAATAGTTTTAGTGACAATGTAGCCCCAGGCTCACTGGTCCCCAGTAGGTGGTATGTTTGGGGATGTTATGCAACCCTTGCTAGAGGAGTTGTGGGGGGCTTGAGTTCACAGCTTCAGCTGCCTTCCAGCTCTCTCTTTGGTTCCTGTTCTGATCCCTCAGCTTCTTGACCTGGCCTCAGGCTCCCACACTGTCCCAGTTGTTATGAACATCTAGTCCTCTGGAAATAGAAGCCCAACGAAAATCTTTCTCTTATAAGTTGCTTTTAGCTGTAGTATTTTCTCACAGCAACAGGAAAGCAACTAGTACATATTCCAAAATATGTGAGTATGGCACCACGTTAACAATAAAATTATGAAAAAATAGACTGAACTTATCTTTTCAAAGTGTTTTCATATGGTATGCCCTGAGACTAAAGTAAATATTACATAAAGAGACTGCTACAGAATGACATGACTGCTGGGAGCCAAACTCAGGAAATTACCTGCTGTTCTGGAAAGCCTAGTCAGTACAAGGTTAAGAAAGGACGTTGTTTGGATCTCAGGTCCCAGGAACTCAAAGAACGCCTGGTATTTCCTGGGAGCCGGTTACTACAGTGGGATGGTCTTGGGCAATGAGGATATGACAGTGGGATGGTCTCAGACAAGGAGGATTCAATAGTGGGATAGCCCTAGGCAATGACCCTTGCCTAAACTTCCCGTTTTGCTGTGTCTTTATAACCTGCCCCTGAAATTAAAGTTGCAGAGCTTGATCAGAACCCCAGACTTGCTCTCATTCTTTGTGTCTCCTGTCCCTTCATTCTTTTGCCTCCTTCCCTAGGGTCTGGTAGAATCGGCTGTGGGCCGGGGCAATGACAAAACAGGTAGCTTACCACAATGAAAAAAATGTTAAAGTTTGCCATTATATTTTTTAAAGATAATACAATAATTCCTAGTAATGATTACAATTTTTATCAGTGAAGTCGATTAAGTCTGTGAATACTAATGATGTTTTTACTACAGAAACATTAGTACTATGAGCCTTCAACTTCCAGGAGGATAGTTCTATATAATAGTTTTAAAATATTTTAGTTATTCAAATTTCAGACAGTAAACAGTGAGGTAGCCAAATTAGGAGCCAAACTTAATGAGCAGTAATACAAAGCCAAATTCTCCTTTATTTTTTTTTAAGGTACTTTCATGTTTAAAAGGTAAAGTACACAATTTAATGTTTTCAGGGTTTTTGGTTTTTTCTTTTAGCCTTAAGCTATTGAGAAGGCTAAGCTGATTCCATGACAGGCTTCAAATTGCCTAGGACTAAGAATTGGGCAAGTCCAGGCAAGTCAGGCTTCAGGCAGCTAGTCAGAAGCTGTCCATCACCTGAGCTGAGGCAAGGATAATGGGTCAGTAGCAGTTTCCATACTTCCTCAGCAACAGTTTCCAGCCCCCACTGGGTTCTGGAACATCCCTAGAGGTAGAGCAAGATAAAGATCACCTACCCCAGAATTCCCCAATGTGCTTTAAATCCCTCACTTTGGGGTCTCCATCTTGGATTGAGTCCTAGTGTTGGTATCAGGTACTGTAAGGATATAAAAACTCATAGAGAAGCTTGAGACCCCCTCATCTGAATTAAGGTTGGCAGGTTCACAGGCCTAGTTCCAGGAACTAGCTGGTCACCCGAAGAAAGAATTAGCCAGGGGGCAACAGGTCATCCGACAAAGAATAGCAGAACTACAAATACAGGTTGATCAAGATACTCCAGGAAACGACTGACCACAGTGGGCTAGGTTAAGGTCACATTCCTGAGAAAAATGTGTACAGGATGTTTCCCACTCCCCACCTTGGTTTATGACTAACTACTGTTCCTCTTTTTTGATTTCCCCCTTTACCCCCCTGGTTTGCGTTTTTTTCCTTTAAATACCCCTTGCTCATGAGCCTCGGGGTCGACGCTCCCCTTGTGAGCCTCAGCCTCAGCTGCTGACTGAAATCCAGAAATAAAGCCTTTTGGCGGTTTGCAGCAAGTTCGGTCTCGAGTGATTCTGGATGGCCATAATCTCCTGTGGAATGAGTGGGGGTCTCCCCACTCCAGGGGCCTTACAGTACCAGCGTGACAGATCATCTCTGAACCCAGTGACATCATACATAGGTGACAGAGACCTATGCATCTGTTACCATGGCAACTGCCATACATTCCTAGAATCCACTTGGCTCACCTACCATCTTTACCTGTGAGCGACTATGTCACAACCCAAATAAAAGGCAAACCCTTCTGACCTCCCCTCCCTCTCTCTGTTTCCCCTTCATTTCATCGCCACCTTTGCCCTCTTCCCCCACAATAAACCCCACCTGGAACTGTATTGGCTCAATGTGGTCTGTTTGGATGCAAGCCGAGATTCTAACACAACACCCAGCATGCTGGATTTCTGCAAAATAAAGTATTCTTTGTGTTTACATACTATTTGAGTCTGAGGTTCGGTGAACCTGGACCCTTACACTATCACTAATGGCTTAGACTAAAACTGAGGACACGGTGAAAACACTGAAACTCTTTCTTCCAGCTCATGGAAGAATACATGTTCCAATACATGTGCGGAACATTAGCATTATCTACAGTCACCATGTTGTCAACAGTGTGTCACAACTTCATATGCCTCTGCTTTTATATCAACAAACAATTTAAGAAATGAAATGCTGACAGTGCAGCACTTTAAAACTGCAACAGTACAGCGACTAAAAAGACAGGCGCTGGCACCCGATTAACCAGGTTCATTCCAAATTTGCTTCATGCACAGCAAAGAACCTGGAAAATGAAATGCTCGGTACTTGGTGACAGTACCACATTACTTACAGGATAGTCTAAGTATTTTATGTGCATTTGGTTCCCACTAACCCACTGGGTAAGTAGTGATAAGATGCTCTGTGACACCTGGGACGGCTAAATAACTTCTTAAGGCTAGAAACCCTAGTAGGTTGTCAGCTCCAAGGTTCTACCTGTGGACTCAGTATTCATATCTCTACCTAGCTGTAAACCTGTGCAGTGCCTCTGCGGAAGATGTGAGATGACGAAACAGATGGAAAGAGAAATGAGGCAGGGAATGAGAGCAGACACCACACCGACTGACAGCATTGAACTTCAAGAGAGCTTACAAAGCCCACAGAACACCAGGTATACAAAGTTTTTGTTGTTGTTTTTCCTTCAATAAAAATCAATGAAACTGGAAACTCTGCATTTAAAATCAAATCCAGCTAACCAGACCCAAGTCTCAGCTCCTGAGAAACATGGAGGTCTAGGTTGATAGCTATTGGGTCATTTGAACAAAGTGTACGATCATATCAACTACACTACATATTTTATTGTTTTTCTAGGATTATGACAGAATCGATTCCTCTTTATGAGTGTCAAACTTCTAGACATATGGTCCCAGGGACAACATCAATCATCCTCAGTCCAAGATGGTCTTGGGAAAACTTGCTCAAAACACAGCGTGTCAGCTTTTGAGAAAACATACCATTAGAGTGGGGATAGAGCAGGCAGAACAGCTGGTACCCAGCATATTAGAGTCATTACAGTCTTGGAAAATTCCCTCATGAAATAGCAAATCAGGAAGCCTGTGAGACTTCGGAGTCTCAGTCAAAGATGCTTCTAATGCCAGTCTTCCTAAGACTAGGAAAGGCAGGCCACACCAGGTGGACTTCATCTGCTAAGACAGGTGCAAAGTAGACACCTACTAGGGCAGCTGTAAGGCAAACAATGAAACATCTGGTCAATGATAGCTACACGATAACAGAGACTGTATAAAAAGGAGAGCCACTTCACCCATGGGTGGATCTTGTCTCTGATATTACATGCTGGCAACTGAAGGGGTACATGTAAAAAGATACATAAACAGCTCTAGGAACTGTATGTGAGCTTGCTGCTGCAGAGTCACTGTCCTGTTCTTTAAATGAGTGATGGTCAGAGGGAATATTGCTATCTCTAAGTATGCACAGACAAAAGGAAAAACAAAAACAAAACAAAACAACAACAACAAAAAAAACCTGAGCAAAGTTCTTTACATAATTCTTAACTTTATAGATACTTTTAAAATACAAATACAGAACAGTGGTTGGAAAACCAGACTTAGCTGGAATAAGGTCCTGTGAGAGAAGTATATTGCCTCCAGAAGGCAGGAGTTTCCAAGAGGTCTAAAGGTTTTTCTGAAGTTTAGTTGTTAAGGGTAAAAGCAACAAAATACTACAGCTTTCAAGAAACTCTCACTGGGACTAACAAAGCCTTGCTGGCTGTCAGACACAAACTCCTGACATTGCAACAGAGAAGGGTCACAGAAACAGTCTCACACAACTTACTCTGAAATTAGAAGACACAGTTTAGAAGCCAGTAGTATCATTACCAACTAATTTTTAAAAATAATTTATCTACTTAGAATTTTGTTTCTTAAAGACTCACCTAAGAGGACAAATCCATCTGCTTCCGGTTCTGGCACAGAGGGCTTTTTGGATTCTGCAGGCTTTCGGAAGAAGTGAAACATAGCCGCTGCTGCTGCTATCTGAAACAGACATTCAGAGTAAGGTCAGCTCCGATGGGACCAAAATCCTGCTCTTCTCAGTAAGGAGCTGTCATAAAGGCGGCACAATAACGACTGCAAGGATCCTATGGCCAGACTGACAAGCATCAAACGTCCTCTAGATAGTAAAGGACAGAAGGTATAAAGCAAGATAGATCTGTTTACAGTCTAAAATCTGTGCCCTGAAAGTCTGCAACCTCTTTCAATTTCTGAAGATTCAGAAAAACATGTAGGAAAACACTCTATGACAGACTGAAATCAACTGATAACACCTGAATCAAGAGAATTTCACCATCCACAGAAGAAACAGTAGTTTGAGGGGAGGGAAAAAAAAAAGACTTGTCCAGGCTTCTTTTTTGCCATACTTAGCTGAAACATCATAAAGCTAAAACCACTTACAAAGAAAAGGAAGGCAGGAGCTGCAGACACCCTTTACCCCTTCCGTGCTTCAGGCCATGGTACTGTACCCATTATATACTACTGCCAACCCCAAATTCCCCTCTTGGTTTTGATGACCCACATCTTTGCATAGTCTTGTTGTATAAATGAAAACCCTTAGAAAACAATTGGGATAAAGACTGAAGGGTGTCAGGACCCGGCCTCAGGCCCTCTGAGCAAAGAATGAAGGGAAAGAAGAGTCCTAAGTGTAGAAAGGCCTTCAAAGTTTGGTTCTCATAAATTCCAGCCTAACATTTAACCTGAGGAAAAGCCCAGAGATGCTGAGCAGTGTTCTAGGATGTGTGCAGGTTTTCACGACCAGAGCTGCAGATCCAGGAAGGACACTAAGCCCAATACAAATAAACGGTAAAGGAGACTATTAGCTGTTGTCAGAAAACAGTTGGTAATTTCACTTTCTCTTTTTCTCTCCCTTCCTCACTTTCTCCCTCCTTCTCTCCGTCTATCCATCCTTCCTTCCCTCCCTCCCTCCCTCCCTCCCTCCCTCCCTCCCTCCCTCCCTCCCTCCATCCCTCCCTCCCTCCCTTCTCTTCCTTCCCTTTCATCTATGGTTGTTTGGGTTTTGTTACTTTTAAAAACAAAACAAACCAGAGTTTCACAATTAGTTAGCCCTGACTGGACTGGAACCTACTTTGTAGACCAGGCTGGTTTTGAACTCAAGAGAACTATCTTCCTGCCACTGTTAGCCCCTAATCCCCAGAGCCCAGAGATGAGATTTAAAGTATGTACCACCACACCTAGCAGATTTCTTTTTTAAAAGAATTAAAAACTGGGAAAGACAAAAAAAATCAGCCATGAGGAAAAGATAGTATTTCAATACAGGAAGATGATACTCACCATAACTTCTCAAAGATAGAGCTTAACTGTAAACCATGATACAGCCAAAAAAGAAAAAAAAAATCCTGGAAACAGGCTGGCATCCCCACCCCATCTCCACAGAATACCAGGAGACATGAGCTCTGTGGGAATGAAGAAAAACAAGATGAAAAATCAAAACAAAGATGAAAATGGTGGCCCATGTCTAGAATCCTGGCACTGAGGAGGGTGGGCGGATGGAGGCAAGCTCTCTGTATGGTACAGAGGCTCACCTCACTCATCTGGCATCCTGAGCTTCTAGAATAGGTGGGACAATAGGCACCTACCACCTCTCCAGGAACAAGACTTCGAGATGGGTATGGCCCTCATGCCTCACTGGACAACGACAGGAGGACCACAGCCATTACAAAGTCCCCTTCAATTACTGGAGGTCAGGCCTCTACCCCCATCTTCACTAGACTAGAATTGCAACAGCCCTTCTATACTTAGAGAAGGGAGGAGATGTCAGGGGCAGCCCTACTTACACACTGAAGGCCTAAAATCAGCCATAGGCCTAAAATCAGCAATAGGCCTGTCATACATGTATACTAACACCAAGTTTTGGGTCTCTATGGAAAAACATTGAAACAGATGGCTATAAGCTAATGTAAACAGACAGCTTTTGTGGAAATTTACCAGCCTGAGTAGTCATAGACCTTGTAAATAGGTAGCCTTGGCAGATAATACCAACTTAGATAAGGACAAGTGAATCATAGGCAGAGTCATAGTGACCTGTCCCCTGAAACTTCAACCAGCCGATACCCTGTTCTGAAAGATATCTGTATTCCCCCTGAACACCCACACTCCAGTGTCATCCCCTTCCCCATGTCCTGCCTTTTTGTGTTTATACCCCCTGTGTGAATGAGTAAAAATTACGATTTGATAAAAATAAATAAATTATTTAAAAGAGAGAGAGAGAGAGAGAGAGAGAGAGAGAGAGAGAGAGAGAGGCTTCAAAGTGTAAAGTGAGACCTGACTCCAAAAGTTGTCCCCTGACCTCCACTCATGGACTGTCGTATTAACGCTCCAGCATGAACACACACACACACACACAACCAAAACACCAACAAAACCCTGGAAGACAGGGAGGTCTTAGAACTTCTGACAGCACTAGAACTCCTCAGTACTAGTCAAACACATTTGATTAATTCCACATCCATCTTTATGAATCCCCAACTTTCCCAGGTCTTGTTCCTCTGTTTTTCAAGACTTCTACAAAATCCCCAACAGTTAAGGTCATGATTTGATGTACTCTGTATTTCTATTTGCACTACTGGTGCCTGGGACAGAGACAGACCCAGCACTGCTGCAGCGCACTAGACTCATATTTTGGGAGGAAAACTGTCATCTCAGCCTACAAGTCTTCTGAGATGATCATTAGCAAGACTTTAACCTTAGAGCAGCAGCTGCAAAGTGAGCCAGGCCTGTAAGCAGCACTGCTGCCGAGTGCTGCGTCTGATGGACAGGAAGATGATATCCATGCGAGCCCTGATATGTTCCAGCCTCTTTCCCTTTTCCATTACTTTCAGTATTTTGTCATTGCAAATAGGAGAAAAATCATAATTTATTTTTAAAAAATCATTATTTGCTATCTGCAACATTGTTCCTGGCTAAGTTAGAAATATATCCTCCTACCAGGCAGACATAGGATCTCAGAGATAGATGGGGACTGACTTCACATTCTCAAGCTAGTTAGCTTTATTAGCATATTTAGGTGTTAAATAAACATTTTAGTTCACAATCATTCAGAAAATAATCTCAAAGTTTTAAACCAATTTGTGTTTGGGACAGACAATCTCTGTGTAGAAAAGTAAAACCATTTTTTTATGCATTCAACTCAACCAAAGCATAAAGGACAGTGTACTTACTTAATACTACACATAGACCACACCCAGCAGGTGTGCCAGATGCCAGACAACACAGATCTCATAGCTCTGAAGTTGAGGGATGACAGCATGCATCATATAATTATTTGTTCATATTATTCTGAGGATTTCCTTTTAAGTAACATCACCCATGGCAAAAAAGATTAAGACAAAAAATTACTTTGCTCGAGTTTATTGTCTGTTTAATTTCACTAGTTAATATCAAAAGTGAAATTTATGCACTGAAATATAGCAGCCACTTTACTATAAAAGATATATATGTATATTTGTAAACATTTTTTTCTTCAAGCTTGTGCCAAAAAAGTCAATAAATAATGGATTTTATACTACTGAAAAATACTAAACAATATGTAATTATCCTCTTTATATGATAAGTATGAAATGTACAACTATGGAAATAAAATATAAGTGTAGATGAACATTTACTAATTTCTGCTGAGAGTTACAAAATAGAGTAGGGCTTTTTGTAGTTTTAATCTAAGACAAGAATTCATTAATCAGCATAAATCATTTCTGAAAGATCACTACAAATTCTAAAAACCCTGGCAGACTGCTTTTTATGCCATCTCATGGGTAGGGCATCAATACAAATGGAAGGTGAAGAAAGGTGGTTTTTGGTTGTTTTGTTTTGTTTTGTAAGAAGAGTCAATAGGAATAGGGTGTCTACAAGACCCCAAAGGAACTAGCCTCACTAGAGAAGGTGATATGTAGATAAGCCACAGAAATCAAGACTGCAGAAGAATGAAGAAAAACTACTTAAAAGGCTAAAAAGTCAAAAAATACTAGAATATGTAGAACAGCATACCAAGATTTGTTGAATATTAAGTTCATATACTTTAGAAGAATCTTGTACAAAGATTAAACTTTTTAAACAATGTTGCAGAGGTTAAGTGTGATAACTGTTGTTTTTCTCTCAAAAGCTAACAAAAACTGTCCTCTGTCTTCAAAATAAGCAAACGAATACATAAAAACACTTTAGCTTTTCTGAATATGGGAAACTTTTCATGGTTCCATCTTTTTGATTTCTATTTCCTCTTCTAGCCAGGAGTGGCTTGGAAATTGCCTCAGAATGTGTTAGACAGCACAGAAAGACTCAATTTGTTGGTGGCGAGTGCACCATCCCTCAAAAGGCTTTATATTTTTATTACTGAACCAACCAACCAAGGTATATCACAGAAAAGAAAAATCAGATTACCAATTAAGCATGCCCAACTGTCTAGAGAATGAAGACATTTTCAACTTGATATGGCACGGTTGTGACTCGGACACGACATGAAGATGTGTGCCATCTCATATGCAACTCACTACGGACCCAGCTCAGTTCTTTTCCCTTGTCACCTACTCAGAGCTGTATTGGATCTTATTACCAGTTTTCATCTGAATCTGTAAGACCATTTGGCCTCTGCTGCCATCAGGAATCACTCCCGGGGTCTGGGCCCGAGCATAGAGCAGGTCACAGGCAGCAGCTCCGTACCCAACCCCAGAAAACCGAGAGAAACAGGGACTCCCAGGAGCTTGAACTCACGAAACATCCCAGGTAAAAATGAACACCCGTGATGCCTGCTGTTAGAAGTTCTAATCCAGATGTGCCAGTAGCCAGGACCCTCGCCCTTACCCTCACCCCCTACCTTTCCCCACCTGCACAATGTGCTCTGAAGCTTGGCAACTGCAGATAGACTCAAAGCAGTGTACCATATCTTCTGAAGAATAGCAGGGAGACCATAACTCAAGCAGTGTACCATATCTTCTGAAGAATAGCAGGTTGCAGTCCTCCTCGCCCCCACG